GCCTTGATGCTGGAGCAGAAACTTCTGGGCGTCCTCCAGGTGGGAGGTTTTTACGGGAACCTGGGTGAAGGTCGCACCCGGGGCGAGGAGGGGCTGGAGTGCGGCGGTCAGAGGCATGTAGGTGCCGTGGGGGTGCGTCAGCGGGGCGGCGGCGGCGGAGGGGGGCTGCGGTTGTAGCTGGGGTTGCAGTTACGCCGCCTGGAACCGGCGGAGGCTGGACCTGGGTCTGGAAGGGAGCGGTGGGCTGGATGAAGTCTGGCTGCCGGACGCCTGCGTGGACCTGAGGCGCGGGGTAACCTTGTTGTTGGTGGTGGGGATCGAACCCATAGGGCAGCTGCTGGGGTATTACAGAGGGAGGCTGTGGCGGTGCTGTAGGCAGAGCGAGAGGAGCCGCCGGTCCCTGGGGAAGGGGGAAGTCTTGGCTCGGCGGTGCAGCAGGTACGGCCTGACTCGACCCGGTGGTACCTGCCTCCGTCTCCACCTCTGGACCTTTCGGGGCCTCCGCCGCGGCCGGTTGAGGAATCTCCTTCTCGTAATACTCCGTACACGTCCAGCGTCCTTTGCGGAACGGCTCAGAGTTGGTGTCCAGCTTGACCACCCTGAAACGAGAGCCGGTGGCCGTCTGAGTTTGGGCGGGCTGGGTTTGAGTTCCTCCTCCGACGGGGTCAAACCCCGCAGGAGGAACCGCAGTCGACAGGCTCCCGCTGCCCTGCGGATGCGGATCAGAGGCAACAACAGAAGCTCCCGGTTGAGCCGCCCCACCTGCAGGTTTCGTACTGTCCAACACCGGTTTGGAGACCATAACCGGGCTCGAACTCGCCACGGGGAGAGCTACCAACGAGGGTTCTGCTCCTCCCGAGCTGTCCGAGCGACGGTGGCCGTGTTGCTGAGGATAGAAATGATGCATGGTCCCGTTTACCAGCGAGGTGAGCTGCTGAGCCCCCTGAGGTAGAGGGTGAGGGTTCAGGGGCTCATTGGGGGACACAAGACCAGGCGTGTCCACCCCGTGGAGGCTGTTCAGGGTCTCATCCGAGGAGCTCCTCTCGGGCACACCCGTGTCCGTGGCTCTGGACACGGACACATCCAGCATCTCGGAGGAGGAGAGGTCCTCCGTGTGCGACTCATCCATGTCATCGTAGCTCTCGGTGTCGTCCGCCAGGCTGTTGTTGCCACTCACGTTAATCTGAGCCGAGGTGACGCTGGTGATCTGGAAGCCGCTCTTCTTCTTCACCTGAGCGCCGGCGGCTTGGGACTGCGGCTGGTGGTGGTGGAGACCGGGAGAGGAGGATCCAGCCGGGGTTGCGGTGTCGTCCCCCGGGTTTGCCCCGCCGCCGCCGGGTGCGGAGGAGGCCGGCGCACCGCTGCTGCCCCTCCTGTAGTGGTACGCGGGTTTCCTGCTCCCCGACCCGGACTGCTCTCCGGGAAACTCCTGGTGGTGCATTTTTCCTGCAGCCGAGGGAGCTATTAAAAGCTAAGAAGCGGCTGTGTGAGCAACCTTACCGGGGTCAGCTGCGGTACCGCGATACTAACGAGCCATCAGTGAGAAGTCAGATGATTTATGTCCTTTAAAAAAAAAAAAAATCTAATTCAACGCTCCGGGCTGTAACGCGAGACAACACGAGTGTTAATCCACTTTCAGACGGATAAAAACAACAAATAAACACCGTCTTCAATTAAAGGAAATAAAAAAAACAAAGGATATTCAGCTCGCTGTTTGGTTTAGCTCCAAAAGCTAGCAGCAATTAGCCCAGCCTCTTCTGTAACTTCGCGCACATTTTCACAGATAACCGCGATTATTTTAAGGTGACCAGTGTCGCAACGACACAGGTGAGCACATCCACGCACAGCTAAAGGTGCCCTCGGGTGGTCTTCAGGCAGAAATGTGGACGCCGCTTTAGCTCGCCGGTGTAATGTCGCAGGAAACCAACCAGTCGTCTCATCCTTGTCTTTTCCCCGGACGTCGAGTTTTTTTTTTGCCCCCCCCCGCGAAAAAAAACCACCTCAACCGATGCAAACAACCATCTACCGTCGACAGACAGCGGCGTCTAAATAATACCCGTCTTTGTAGTGGTAAAAAGTGCTCGCCAAGTCCATCTCGGTGTGTTTAATCGAGTCCGCGTTTGCTGTCTCATCGCCGGTGAGCGGCGGCGGCTAACGGCGCTGTCAGTCAGGAGGGAGGCGGAATGCAAACACTGCCACTGCGCATGCGCCGGGGTCTGCTTATAGCTTAAGTCTGGTGTGGCGTTCAGGCTCACCCGGTTAAATTGGAAAGTACACGATTCAGTTTTTTTTTTTCAGTACGTTAGGTTTTTTTTTTTTTTGTCTTGTAAATGTCGGTTTATTCTGATATTAATCGTTTATCTGAGTTGAGTGCATTTTCGTGACTGTTTTGATGTTGGTTAATTTGATGTTTTTCATTTTTGTTAAAGTATTTATTACTTGAACACAATGTCCTCAGTCAGAGTGTCAATTTTACCATATTTACTAAGACATTTAAGGCAGCACTGGACTCTGGTTTGTGTTTATTATTTTTTTCTTGGACCCCTGTCTGGGAAGTGCTACTATAAATTAGCTGTATAAACTCAGCAGTATCTATTTTCTTTGAAGCCAATCTAAGTATATGTATTTATTTACACATGAATTATAAACCTAAAGTAAGACTGGTCAAAGAAAATATGGCACATTTCATTAGTTTCTGCCTCTATTTTCTGTGTTCAGATAACCTTTTGACAGGCGGAATAACAGGCCAATAATTGAAATGTCATGCAAAACAAGCCCCGACACATCTCCTCATATAGGACCAGCTTGTTCCGCCTGTCAGGTATAATTCAGCCAGAGGCTACAGGCTCTGTATAAACAAGGCTAATATACAAACCCCCTATACATATCTTACACAGCAACAACAAATCTGATTCTGATCTTTCTGTTTCTGTGCCTGCCTCCTGGTGACAGATTCTCCCGTTAAACATATAACAGCAGGTATGAAGGGTAAAGACACACCTGTCAATGCACTTTCAACATCACGGCTATTCATAAATACATGCACCTGTAGGGGAGGGCGGACTATGGGGAAGTTCCACTCTGAAGTCTGATTCCAAAGGTTATGTAATGTTGAAACCACAGAAAGTAAACAGAGAGACATGAGCCATGCTTTCTGTAAACGTTCAACCTGAACGTCAAGACTGGTCCTCGACAGCTTCCGCTTCTACTGTCAAGAAGTTTAGACAGTGTCTAACAGGGATCATGTCAACCTTTACATACATTTACTCATTGATTCTGACGTATAAAAAGCAAAGAATCATCACAGGACATTTTTTGGTTCATCAACTGTGATTTAATTCTACAGCAGAAATATAACAACCACAACAATAAGTGTCTACCTACCTGACAATAAGCTAACAAGCTTTATATATTAAGAAATGTCATCAAGGGGAAATGAGAAAATCTGTTTTTTTAGGATAATTTAAAAGTGTGGAAAAACCCAGAACACCAGACAATGTAATTTAAAGCATTAAATTATCCCTTCGAGAATATTATATAAAGAAGTGTGTTGACAGTGTCAGAGGTGTTGATGGAAGTTCAGTGTCATTGTTGAGGTCAAGGTTTATGGCAAGTTGGTTGTATTACATTATATTGTGGGGTGTTTCTGTGATCTCTTCCACAAACAAACAAACAAAATAATAAACCACATTTAACAGAGTAAGACTTCTTACAATGACAAATGACTGAGTAGTATAAGAGCAATCACTGCAGGTCCCTACAGGAGTACTAGAGTGATCCTACAAAAGAAAACAAAAACACCACAAGGTACAATTATATTGTTATGAACTCAGAAGTGACAGATTAAGCTTCATTTTTACCACCACTTTTGCAACATTGTTCTTTTTACGTGTTTTACAATTTTGATTACTCCTTTAGTGCTGTCTTAGAAGTTAAACATGCTGAAGAGTTACGCAAAAATGTATACTGAAGAATTTAAAAAAAGTATTCTGCAGTTAGGATGTAACCCAAATTAAAATACAAGAACCAATAAGTTACAAAATGGAGTAAAAAAAACAACAACCCCTCAGTTCCACTGTAATTTCCTTTATCCTGCGTCTGTCTCTGATGTCAGTCTGGTTGCAGTAGTTGTTGAAGTGGGCACACGGTACTGGAGCCAGAAACTGTCCATGCTGGAAGGAAAACAAAACAAATATTATTCACTTTTACAAAAAAAGGGACTGTGGATTTTGTCCCCCATCACTTAAACCTGTACAAGGAAGGTAAAAAATGTGAACCTATCCTTTAAACCTGCAGTAGCTGATTATCTTGGCCACTTGGGGGCAGTGGAAACAACACTATCATATAACAGTTGCTTATTTACACATGTAACAGTTATGGAGCAACATAATTATATATTTGGAGTTGTGTTTGTGTGTGTTTTTTGGTCTCTACCATCTCCTGAGAAAAATGTCTGTCTTTAGTTGCTAAATTCTCCACTATGTTCACCAGATAGTTGCTGTGTCCGTCTGCTGTTTGGTGCTGAGCAGGAAGTGTACAGTGGTTTTTAAGAGAACAATGTGGGTTGGACAGCTTAACAATGAGATGAAACTCACCATAAAGCTTTTTAAAGCCAAGTGGAGCGACAATGTTTTTTTCTCAATAATGTGCACTTTATTTAATAAAGCAATTCATTATAGTTCAGAAATGATGCCCAACAACTGAAAATAACAAATTCATCTTTGTTAATATATTTTGTACAATGTGTTTCAGGTATAGTGTTGCATCATTTTTCTGATGTAACTTTAACTTTCTGTCCTCTGTGGAAACACTGAAAACCTCTCTGCCTACACTACACCTAGCAGAGTCCAGGTGTGTTTCCATATCGTAGGGATGCCCAGTTGTACACCCACCCAGTGCGTTCAGGCCCGGTAAGCCTGGTTCTCTCACACCCGTTTATTGCCTCGATGTATACGGATGACTGTAACACAGGCCCACATTCTTTAAAAGTTTGCCCTTCACAGAAAATAGTGCTGACAATTTTCCCCAGGATGAATTATTACTGTTGACACAGTTGACCGTCTGGTTCATATCTCAATTGTGACGTTATTTATATTTTCTCTTAGCAACGTGTAACATATGAACATCAGCAGCAGCTTTATTATGGAAAGAAATATGACATTTAAGACCCACATTAACGATGTGATTTGTCAGAGGAGAGAGGAGAAACACTGACAAACATCCCAATTCTTAAAGTGATACTTCACCTTTTGAGTATCAAGCTCTCACCACCGTCAGGCCTAAGAGGTGGCTCTCTGGAGTTTGTTATTCGTTTGTTTGTTGAACCAAAATTGGCAGCTGTGTTTTACAAGTTTTCATTCTGAAATTAAAAATCAAAATGTCCATAAAAAACTTCCCAAACGGCAACATTTATTTTTCTCTCTGCACCTGCATGCTCAGTATGTTAGAAACACAGATTGTTTAGCATTGCAAATAATTTCAGACTGTATGTCAGTTTAAACATGCCCCGTGTGAGGCTCAATTCATTTGCTTTCCATTTCCTTTCTCTTTCTCTGTATATGTGGCATCCTTAGCTGGAAAAAAACGGAGAATCCAGAGAAGCTAGTTAAGCAAGTAGATGTACATTTTAAATCTTTAAAGACAAAATGGATCAGGAACAGAATCCATCAGCAAGGAGATGCAACGAAAGCACAAATTATTGATTGTTGATCTGTCTAAATAGTGCACACTGTACATGTCTGCACATAATTCCAGTAGAACTACTACATGTAACAAAACTCATGCCCCGTGTGAGGCTCGAACTCTACGACCTTCAGATATGAGACTGACGCCGTGCCCAGTGTCTATGGACAGTAATCTGCCCCCCTACTGCGCAACGAACGCATAAATATGAAACCTTAAATCGTTGAGTTCTATACAGACTAGGGTGTTTCAACATTACCCTTCAGAAAAAACAGGACAAGAATTAGAATTATCTTTTCTTCGCTCAGGTGAGAGACGCTTCTGAGACTCGCTGCAGCGCTTCTGGTGGAATTTATAGCATCGCCTTGAACGGTGCAATCAACTATGGTAGCAGACCTGGAACGTGTTGCGGGCATGCCCAGTGGAATTTGGAGGTGAAATTGTGTAGGATGTAGTGGCATCCAGCAGTGAAGT